CGATAAAGTAATATCTAAGGTAGTGTGATTAACTGGGGCAAGTCAGTAGGTATCTTGTATGGAGAGTGGGAAAACAAACCCCCTGAAATCGAAGGTATGAAGTGGCATTCTGAGCCTATGAGGTACCTTGGGGTCCCACTACAGCATTTACGAGACACTATAAAGATTACTGGACTAGTGAATGCGAGACAGTCAAGGAAAAAACAAAGAAGTTTGGTGGTATGGACCTTTCAATGTTCGCAAGAGCAACAGTGTGTAACCTCTTTCTTGTCGCTAAAATCTGGTTTGTGCTACAGGCCCTTTGAGCATACAGAGTTAGCATACAAAAAATTGCACAGAGCGTTCGCCGTTTTCATATGGGATATCTACGTGGGAACGTACGAAGCGTACGAATTTGTTCAGGTCGGTTAAGCGAGGTGGCCTAGATTTAGCTCATATGTTCTTGAAACAAGTCGTTTCACGCTTTCTCTTCTTACGCGATCAAAGGAACGTATTCTTACTGATCGTAATTCAGGAATGCCTGCGTGACAATTTACCCAATTATATTGTTTCATCACGAGCGGCGAAAGGGAGTAGAATTAGGGGTTTCCTGCGGGAGGTAGGGATGGCTTTTCAATTTTTGCTCACCCATTTTTCACTCGAGTATCTGAGTAATGTCCAAAGTAAGCAGTTGTACAAAGATGTTGTGGACGTAACTATGCAAGTGCCAATCTATAGGTCGAAGTACTCCGTGAAAATAGGGGCACATGTTTTAAAAAGGATAAAGCGGATGCCTATGCGTGCGTCTACTAAATGCTTTTTCTTTCAACTACATAGTGAGACACTATCGGTCACACCATGGCTACAGGAAAAGGGCTTCTTTGTAGCATGGTCAGTAAACTACCTAATATGCAGGAAACCAGAGACTATAGAGCCCATTTTGTTGGACTGTTCTGATGCAATGGTTTTGTGGGACGTTTTGCAACGCACTTAAAAAAAAAAGAGCTACCGGTAACGCCTTACGGAATCCGCTTTCTCCCAACATCAAATGATGATAGAGTGCCTCATGACATGTTCGTGTTACTGGTTTTGCACAATTTATGGAAAACCCGAACGGCAGTACGCTACGAGCATATTAAGATACAATCTTCAAGAGAGAACTTCATTGAGAGTATGATACTAATGCGCCAGGTGTACATTGAAAAAGCCGAAGAAAATGATTAGCTTTCTCGATTTGATGAACTCTCAAACATAAAGTACTTTTAAACGCCTACGTCTGCCGAGAACTGGTGTATGTTTTTAAAAACAATTTCATGGTTATGTGTTGTATTATGAAAATGTGTTGTTCATTGGAAATAAAAAAAAAAAAAAAGGAACGAACTGGCACCGAAGATAGGCGAAGCACTCCTGCACCCAATCATGCTAGTTAAACACGGCCTCCAAGAAAGCCGAGCTCATCTCGAAGGCCGTATATTATCCGCAGACAATCCACGACTCCGAGATCTAGCGAGTGGTGGCGCCACCATAAAACGGAGTGTTTTGTTAATACACCGTGTTTGTTAACGAGCCGTCATCGCAAACAGAGCCATGTCTCAGGTGGGAGACGGCACACTACCCCATTCCAGTAAACCACACAAATACTTTAAAAATGATTAATCACAATTTTTACTTTTAACAACGGTTAATGAACTTGGCCACAGAGCACGCTATCTTAATACTGTTTTTAAAAGTCAATTAGTCTAAATAACTACAAAATATGCTCTAAGAATTTTTCTTGCAATGTAGGGATTTTTCGAGGGTCAATTTAGGGATACAATGACTCCATGGGTTGGCATCACTGGTTGACATATACAATAACATTGCAACTTTGCGAGGGAACTTTCAGTATAGCTTAGAGCGCCCAACATTTGTTTCGTGGGCTGTTTCTTCGAGAGCAATTAATATTTATTTTTGCCTCCGGTGTCATGAAAGCGCCATGTCTAACTTTGACTGCATAGTTGTGTGCTGCTCTTCGCTTAAGTGGGCTCATTCAATTGAAGCAGGTGATGTCAAACATCCGGTGTGTACTCGATCTGTAACTGCTTCCATCGATTTGTAAGTGTCATGCTTCACTTTCAGAGCTGTGGATTCTCCAAGCTCGGAATATAATTCCTAAATCTGCCAATATTCTTACCATCGAGGACCCTGAAAAGAACATCGGCAGCGGAGCCGCTACCTTGAATGGACTTCTGGTAGCGACAAGATACTTGTGTGCTGGAAATGGATAGGCAGTAAGTTGAGAATTGCTAGACGTCGACACTGTTGTGCACTATTCTGATCTTTTAAAATGAATTCCTGAGCCATTACAGAGCTTCAAGTCAGACGCCGCATACTGCTGGTCGCACTCCGAGGACTTATCGTTAAAAAAGAAAGGGGAGCCCTAGTTGAAAAATATTGGTAAGGCTAAAAAAAAAAAAAAAAGACGGGAACGCAGAACACTAACTGGCGCGTGTTTGTCAGTTCGCGTCGTTCCTTCGTCGCCGTCATTTTACAGCGGAAGCTGTTATGAGATCACAACTCAGGACTCGCGCAGTTGTTCGCCGCCGATGTCCGTAACCATTTCGCGCAAAAGGCAGTGGGGCACGAACCCGGGTCCACTGGGTGCCAGTCCAGTACTTTACCAATGAGCTAGACCTGTTTTGCTTTTCTTTATTGACCACTGAGCTACACCGGTGCTCGTGACTTGCTGTCAAACTTGCCCTAGGCAGGCTTGATGTCGAGAAAGCAATCGCGTTAATACGACTTATAAAGCCTTTTAAAAACAGCGAAAGAACAACCAGTCACAATGCGAATAATGTAACGAGTGGGCCGTCCAGTGTTCCATCCCATCACAAAAACTTTTTTTTTTCCCTATTAACTGTGGCACATACCCACTTTAGCCATATTTCCTCATTGTGGTCAGCCACTGCATGAACAATTGGCACAATATTCCTTGCAAGTGTTTAGCGGATACCACACTTCTCAGAAGAATGACGACAAAAATAGCATAGCGAATGCTGGCCTACTACCCAAATAAATTTATTAATAATGACCTAGTGAGTATCAAGCAAGTGTGCTTGCAGTAGTTACCCATGAATGTTTCGAAAAGGCTCTGAAAGGTGGCTCTTCTAGCTTTTGCTGTGTCGGTGCTGCGCCTTCTGCGCAGGCCTTTTTTTTTCACCTTACCAATTTTTCTCAAGTATGAAACCAACTAGCTCGGCAACAAGCCGTATAGGGAGCCCTAGCACTGCTCCTTTTGGTGTCTGATTAGCTGGTGTTGCTTTTGCATCTTTTGCATCTTTGACCCTTGTCGTCCGGGCTGCTTTGTGTAGGAGCTTCCAAGATTTTATTTTTGGAGAACTGGCACTGAAATAATGGCAGTTAACTGACGGAAACTGGTTATATTATAGATGAACAAGCTGTAGAATTTCGGCTTCAGTGACAAGTTTGCAAAAATGGAGCATGGCAGATGCCTCAACCACACCCTCTTTTTCGAGCTTGCTTGGCCACACCTCTTTGTTATCATAAGTTTGACAGTATTTCGAATTGCTTTGACTTACTCCAGAAGCGATATTTTAATCCTAGTCACATTTATATTGCTAGATTTTTTTTCAGGTTGTAACCTCTGACGTACTCCAAAAAAGCTGGATCTTGATACTGCATCATGATCTAAGATGTCTACTGTTGACTTTACAACACTGTTCAAACTACAATTTCGCTGTTAGGGCTTTTTTTAGCGTAACTATTTTTTCTCCATTCTTTTCTTTTCTCTCATATACCTCTCAAGAGTGCAGTTACATTGAGTTCACGCGTGTATCCTATTTATTTTGGCCCACTGAAGGGAACATAAAAGCACTTGAGCTTAGCAACACTGGGACCTTTTTTTTACATTCATTCTTTATTTTCAGATTATTTATTTTAGTATTAAGCCCAGTGATAAACTGAAAAGAGCTGCTACAGGATCATTCTTAACTGTTGAACTCATCTCTCAAGACAAACCTTTTCATTTTATTTTAAAGCAATCATAGGCTCCCCATACTAAAATGTATACACTTTCAAGCTAAACAATGAGAGTGCTAGATTTGGTGTACAGCACTGCTATTTTTCAATTTTTTATGCGATGCATCTTGCCTGATACCAGGCTCTTCACAGTAGATTCCTGGTGGATTTCAAGCTGGAAGGCATTAGGTCACAATAACACCATGCACCCATTAGGTCCCAAATGCATGCACACTTGTTTTGTGCAAACTAGTGCTTTGCAAAGAGCAGCATATGTGTTAGATTGCATTGCTACGTTTTAAGAACAAAGAGCATGTGCATGCTTGCAATTTTCTTTTAGGCCATAAAGGCAGAAATAGAACGTGTAAACAATTGTCAATAATACCACAGTCCTCCACATATGTATGGCCCGGGCCACAACCTTTTTGGTTGGTCTTTGTTGGCTGTCTCTTCATCCAGTTTAATTCGTTTTCTTTTTTTCACACAATCGCTACACTTCAATTAAAGACTACAAGTAGCATCCCCTATTTTTTTCTTGGAATCATGAAGTCGGCTTCATATGGTTGTGTCCAACAAAGAAAATGGGTCTCTTGACCCATTCGCCTTCCTTAGTATATCCATTGAAAGAGTATGGTGTATTGTTTAAAAACAATCTTGAAGGACCAACAAGCCCCAGCACTACCCGGTTACTGAAAAAAGAAGTTGTTTATAAACTCAAAAGCACACCAGTATTCTTTTCTGGTGGCTGCTAGCATTTTGGAAGGCCATGTGACACTCATGTAAGAGGTTGCACGGTCATATTACTGGAGCACAGTAAAGTGCTTGCTGTTACTATTGTTTTCTTACTATTGTCCTCATTATGAAGCCATCAGTGCTGTGACATTGCCTCACTGTTACCACAAGCTCCCATTATATGCACAATTTTTTAGATTACCAAAATCTTAAATTCACTTCTTAAAAAACTGCAAAATACTGTTAATGTATATTTGACTTTGCAGGGTGGAGACTATCTTCTAGAACCTTGTGGAAGAGCTTTCATGAGTGTGCCGGGCATTTACGCTGCTTCCGTTGCCAGATCGATGGTCAATCTACCAACTTGGAGAATCTGTTCAACATCACCTCCCAAGTACACAATTCCCTTATGCTTACTGTTGTGCATAGTCTGGTCACACTTATTTCACCTTTTCCAGGGTTTTTTAGTTAAAAACAATTCAAAAAGACTGTTTTTTTGTTTGATTCTGCATGTCTAAAACATTGAGAAAAGCTGTCTAAAGGTGGCTGTATTCGCAAGATACATTTTTTGGAAAATATGCAGATGATTGGCTTCACTGCATTCGACGATTGAAGGGATCCCCAACTTCGCTAGTCTCCAGCGCACAAAATGTCAGTTTGAATTTTGAAAAACATGTTACATTGGGGCAAGTGAGCCCATGAAAGAATTGCTTAAGACGTGCCAGTGGCAGTTTTGTCTGTCTGTATCCACTGCAGATGCGTCAACGCGGTCGCTGTCTGAATGTGATGATTTAGAGAAAATATGCTGCTTTGTCACTGCCACACTTGCAGGTGAACTGAAATTATTTATTTCACAAAATTTTGACAAACAAGCATTTTTTATTATATTGCCTGAACAGAGCTGTTGCCAGCATGCGTGTGCCACTCATGCAATGAGAAGGACACCTTTTTTTGTTTCCGGCTACCAGAATCAAGCCCTTTCTCGGCCAAATGCATGCTTTGAGTGCATTTTTTTAAAATACTTATCTATGGAAGCCAAAGATAACTCCACAAAATTAATTACGTTAGCTTAACTACAGTGCACCCAAATGCTTGTCTCAGAACGGACGAGCACAGCTTTTCTGTGGCTTTTCTGAGCACAGCTTTTCTGAGCAGCGTGAACTGTGTGGACGAGTTCAGGCTACTTCAGTTGGGAAAGGGTTAACACTGTGTTAAACCAGTAACCCCTAATCCTTTCAGGCGCAGCCTGCACATATGTGGGCAACTTGCTTTTGCCAGCTTCTCGGATCAGTGAGAAAGGAAGGGCAAGATACATTGTGCATAAGATCAATTTAACCTTCTGCATAGCCAATGCATCTTTATTTAACCTAATGTGCTGCATAGATCTGCAGCTGATTATTTTAGTGAAAGCACCACGATGTTCCACGGGTCACTCGACCTGCCATGTTTCAGGACCAACTTTATAAGTATTTTTTTTTATTTTCTCAAAATGAGTAGAACCAAGAACTAACTGTATGCATTTCGGGCCTCAGATTTCCATCTTTATGTGTAAAAATTGAACATGACTGACTGCAGAATAATTAAATATTTAAATATATGCAAATTAAGAAAAATAATTGAAACACCAAAAATAATCTATTTCTTAATTTTCTTTTTTTTTTTTTTGAAATGTGATATATAGCATCTTAGAATGTTATGCAAAATTCAGACTTCTACAGACAGTTCATCATACTTTGTGCCTGAAGAGGTGCAATAACTTTCTTGAACACCAAATTGTGTAACAGTGATAGGGGCTTTGTTTTGTTCTTTATTATACTTCATTAAGCATCACTGTACTAAAGTCAGCTTCATGAATTTATTGATTGTTTTCAAGCTCACATGTGCATTCTAGGTAGTGTTCATATTGTTTGCATAATAACCAATTTCATGAAGTTCCTAATTATACTTCATTAAGCATCACTGTACCTAAGTCAGCTTCATGAGTTCATTGATTGTTTTCAAGCTCACATGTGCATTCTAGATAGTGTTCATTTGCATAATAATCAATTTCATGAAATGCCTAATTTTAATCGACCCTTTGTGGTGCTGACAAGACAACATGACCATAGTAGTTAGTGGTCAGACAGTGCACAAGTTTTTTCGTGGTTGAATAATGCCTGTATTTTCTTATTGCATAATGAGTCATCTCTAAAGGAGTGAGTCAACTTCTTTCACTTGAGCTTTAATTTCTTTAGTTTTGCACTACAAGAGACAGAAGGTGGGTAGAAGTTTTGGAGTGTTGAGGGTTAAAAGAGAGAACCACTGGCAGGTTGTGCACCCATACAGCAATCATACCAAACACAGAAGCTGTAATAGTTCAGCTTCATCACGAAATAAGGGCAACTTTCATTAAAAAAAAAAACACGGGACGAAAGCACTCTGTTCCATGTTTCTTTTCTATGTCTTCATGCAAGTTACTCTTTTTTTCATCATGAAACTTTACCAACATGCCCATTTGGCAGTTATCCTACAAGATTCAAGCTTGATATCTGTCGAATGGGTACACAGCTATATGTAATGCCTGTCACACGGGATCTATATATGCAAGGCAGCAGTCTCCTAATCTTTCCAGTGTTACAGCAACTGGCTTGCTCTGAATTATCAAATACCCACCATATTGGCTCCTGTTGTAGCCTTCACTAAGACTCTCAACGAAGCACCCAAGCTATGCCTGCAGCAATTTTCAGCACCACATCAGGAAGGGAAGCACCATTTCTTATTGCAAGGGTACAAGTGCACAGAATAAGGACACAGAAATTTCTTTGTCCCATGTGCTTCCTTTCCTGTTTTGCTTTCATAAAAATGGATGTCAACCAACTTGTCCAACATTCCAGATTGCTACATTTTATTGCAGCAGTTCTTCATACGCTAAGGACATGTAAAACGGTAACACAGTTTTGCAAGATCATTTGCGCAGTGCCTACTTCATTATTTAATTACTTAACCCCAACAAAACCTTTTGTTCAAGCAAGTTGAGGCATACGTTTTTGAAATCTTATGGTGTCCTTAATTTTGCTTATATTTGCCACGAGTGCTTTAGTTTCAATCTATGATCGAATGAAGGGACGCTCGAGGTATTGACAGTATTCTTTTTATGTATTACGATTTTTTTACATTGTTCCAAGGCTTCTTAAATCTAGGAGATATGTGTGTTTTTGTGTTTTTGTTAGCAGCTTTCTTAGAATAGCAGTGGCAACAAGTCATCTTGCTCCCCAAGGAAATTTATAAAAAGATGAACTACAGCTTGTCTTGGGACTCGGTTAGGTTTTAAAGTGACTGAGTTTGATTTTCTTAATGGTGTTATAAACTTTCTGTACCTTTCTGTCAGATGCAAAAAAATGGTCCTCCAGGCGTATGGCTCTGCAGCACAGACATGGTTTTGACCTGCAGTGACGTCGGTATGAGAATATTATTTTGCTTCTTTAGAATGTTAAAGGGCCCCTAAATCATTCAGAGGTTGAAACTAGGTGTAGTGGGGAAGTTTTGCACGAGTTTAAAATGGACACGAAGCCGTGAGAATTTCTCAAAAATGATGCCTTAATAGTGGAGTTAGACGCGCTTCATTATCAAAATGTGGCGATCGTTCTTTCCTCCTCTATGCTCCGTTAGTATTCTCTCCCAAAGCCACTTTGCGCTCTTGCGATGCACCCCTTATCTCGCGTGGCATGTAGGGGCGTGACATGAGGTCTGTGCATGGCTAGGAGAACAAGTGCTGCACGGAGGTGGCACACGTGGGCAACACGACAAACAACAAGGAGCACGAACAGCTGCTTGAAGAATAACTGGAAGGCGTAGGTTCTTGCTCGACCAGTCACAGCATGATTTGTGTCAACGCATCAGAGATTCAACTTCTCGACGTTGTGCTGTGGCCAGCGATCCCAGAGAGGAGGATGGATCGTTTCTCGGAATTTGTGGCGGACCAGCGGCTTATAGCGCGGCCATGTGTGGCATCGTTTATCATGTCAGCATTCTGCACACAATGCGTGTGTTTACGTGAAATGTTCGAAAAAAAAAAATATTGGAGGTGATTAAGGGGCTCTTCAACTCTGAAGTTTTGTTTACTGTGTATGCTACATCCTCATCAGTATATAATGACATTCAGTAAGTTCAGTCATTTTTGCAGCATATGTTGCAAGAGTGATTTAATAACTGAATTTTATTTTGAATACTGTTCACTATATTTTACCAGATTACGGTGACGTGTTCACAGCTTATGTAATGGTGAATCTTATTTATCTTTTCATACAGTTGAACTTCGTTATAAGAGGCATGCTCCGGGTGGCAATTCTTTTCTTTTTTGTGAGATGTCTCTGATAAGCAGGGTGCCATGTATGCATTTTCTTATCGACCGGTATTTTACTGTAGGCACACTGGTGTCTCTTATGCTTAATTGTCTCTGATATCAGTGTCTGTTATAAAGGGGCTTGACTGTAGTTTATTTGGAAGAGTTCTGTAGAATAGTGGCCTTGTTCGGTTCTATAGTGAGAAAACATGTGGATAAGCTGTAGGCCATGTATGATAACTGAAGGATGTTGTAGTTATAAAATTAACTTTCATAAAGCTGAAAAAAAGCCTTTATTTTCAAGTCCAAATTAATTATCCCAATCAGAGAGATGAATATGTCAATGTTTAGCTTCTAGTTAAAAGTTTTGTGGTAATACTCAGTTTGATGTAAATGAAATCACTGATAAGCTTACCTGGCATTTTTTCAATGAAGTTTCACCATGAAGTTTGATTGGTTTATTTTTTGGTTGATTGTCCCAAAGCAACATACGAGCTATATTAGGCAGTATGTCCGTCTGGTGTTGTGCATGCTATATAAATCATTACCAACTTGCAGGAACATGAGTTTTTCTGCTATGCGAGACTTCCATAGCAAATAAGCTGTCCCACTGGGTGCTTATAAGGTGTAGTGCTAAGTGAATGAAATACTAAAATCAGACTGCGTGGTAACTAGTGCTATTAGCCCCACTAATGAGTGCTTTATCCTTGCTGGAAGACAAAATGCTACTGCAATGTGTTGGAAAGACTTATATAACTTGTGTGGGTTGATCCTTGGTTGTTGGCAAACAAGCTGGAAAAATTTCAGGGCATTTGGTCAAGAACTAATTTATAGCGAGCATTTTTATAAACACACGAGCGGCCCAAGAGTTTGACAAGTGACGCACTTGCGACTGGTGACTTAACAAGTGGCTTGTTTTGCAAGCATCGGTATTCCAGCCAACAATGTTGTTTCATGGTCAGCTGCACATGCAGTGGAGTTCGTGAAGTTTTCTTCAATTCGGCATTGAAAAGTGAACTGTTTGCAGCAGCAGAAACTTGGGTGTAAGATGACTGTTCCCTTGCACGAATCACATGGCGCCATGATAAAATTGCCGTTGCTAGCAATGGGCAGGGTTTGTAGCCGGTGACTTTTAAAGCTCATTTTTCAATGAAACATTTTTTTACGGTCCATTTTTCTGACATGTGGAGGCACAATAGTCACTTTTCTATATTTTGCCAGAAAGCACGTTATGATGGGCGACCGTGTCATATAGCCCCTTTAAAAGATAATTGGCACGCAAACATGGACAAAAGAAAAAAGGTAAAGACAAGATTTTGTGTCAAAGCATTGTTACCACTCCCTCTCTGTAAGGCCTCTGCCCTGAGGGGTACAATAAAATGGAAATGAAACAGAAATGCCAATTTATTCGCAAAGCAGGTTCAACGCAAACACCGATTTTATTCGCCCAGCTCCCATCGACAGCACGAAATATTCTGTTTATCATGCTGGATAATTATTAAGAGCGAATAGTGAAGCATTGCACACTGGTTTCAACACTTTTACATGTGCCGAGTGCGCCTTCTGTGAGTTGGTTCACTAAAACAAATTGATTATTAAAGGCTTTTATATCTGAAGAAAATATATTGATATCAAAACACATTATGTGGCTCATGTGCTTCAAAATTTGAGCAAGCTTTGCTTATGCATGTTCACAATGCAGGAGTTAGTCTATTGTTTTTTGTTCTACTGTTACTTTCACCACATTGACATTAGAGTGATTTCTCTTACAATGTCCCTACTTGCCTCAAGGGATTTTCTGATTCAGCATCTTTTATTAGCACATTTTTATAGCTGAATTCTTGCTTTGCAGCCATCGACTGGTCCTGTGTTAAAGATGGTCTGCTCATATGCTCCATTTGTGATCCCCACTATGCGGCAAATCATGGTGCTGTAAAGGTGAACAGTGATGTAAGGGGCTTTATATTTTGTGTGTGTGTTGTGTGTGTGCACAAAACTATTTCAATCCCCACATGGCATGAAATCAGTGCTTATTATGCAACGTTTTAAAAGGCGAAGCGCTTTTTTCCGAATATAGACAAAGTAGAAGAGGAAGCAAGGCTGACATACACAATCTTGACTAGTCGCTGGCAAAAAAGGGGCCTCGTGAAATGCCTAGCAAGCTAAGATGACACCATTTGCAGGTCATGACTGCAATACATGTGTTCTGTGAAAGCTGTTTTATTATGAAGTGCATGTTTATGAACAGCAATACGCACTAATTGCATCAAAAACATAGGTGCAGTCATTTTTGGTCAGTGAAGGATTGTTGCAGTTTAAAATTGAGGCATCTTATATCAGAATAAAGCATATGTACCACTCAGGTGTCATCTATTCACGCTTTGTACTGCTGTCAGAAATCGCTGAATTTGCATAAATGTGTGAAACTAAATGAGCCTCCGTTATCGGCATTGCTGTTTGAAATTGGGTGTTAATGAACTTTTCTAGCAGGGACATGTCATTATTTAATCCTCAAGCTTTGTATGTTTACAGTGCAACACATGTCAATTTCCAGTTATGTCTTAATATTGTCATAATAAACTAGCCGATAAGGCGAACTTATTCTACAAACCTTGTGCGTGTTTTCACCCAGAAAGATCTATTGATTATTCATCGTTATGTTTGGTGCATTCATACCTTAATGCTGTTTGAAAGCCCCATTTTATGCTGTAGCACCATTCATTCCTTTTCTTTCAGGGCGTAGTTTCAAGCATTCTGTATTGTGGAACATTGCAAGCCTTGCGGGATTACACACTTACCGATGGAACGGTTCTTGTAAGATTTCGTCACTACTCACTTGGAAATTTCATTCTAAATCTGCTGTAATGGAGTTTTGTTTCTACTATGCTAATTATTTTGCACCTACTTTTAGGTCTAACTTTTTAGGTTACCTACTGAGTTTTTGTTGCATGTTTTGTAAATGAAAATTTTTTAGGCAGCAACGTACATTTATGGTGTCCTTTACAACCAATATATATTTTTGAGCATCTGCTGCCTTCAAGGTTTTTGACCACAGTTCAGTTCAAGGTACTCTTAAAAAGTAATTGCAGTCCTGTCCTCATATATAAAGGCCACTCTAAACAGTAATCACTTTTTGATAAATGTTTTTCTACAAATGGGCCTGGGTAACTTGTGAAAAATATAAATGCCACTTCAGTGCTAGTTGCCCCGCCGCGGTGGTCTAGTGGCTAAGGTACTCGGCTGCTGACCCGCAGGGCGCGGGTTCGAATCCCGGCTGCGGCGGCTGCATTTCCGATGAAGGCGGAAATGTTGTAGGCCCGTGTGCTCAGGTTTGGGTGCACGTTAAAGAACCCCAGGTGGTTGAAATTTCCGGAGCCCTCCACTACGGCGTCTCTCATAATCATATAGTGGTTTTGGGACGTTAAACCCCACATATCAATCAGTGCTAGTTAGCATACAAGTTGATATTGAATCAGAATATAGAGATGCTTGTCTGATAATGTCGATGTTTGTTAAATAGACCAAAGTAGATGCATTTAGTCTGTAGCTTTTTCTACAGTGACACTCACATCTGCAATGTGACACTTCAGACAAGATGATTTCAGTTGGAATTATTCTGATGCCTTGCGTTTATGCTAAGATGGTAATAATTTATATTGTACTTACCTGTTTATCAAAATTATTTTTATATTAAGTTATTTGTTATAGTATTAATAATGACTGTAACAGGCTTAATGGTATTGTGTCAATTCATTTACTGCATTTCTTTTCTAAGCGTTAAATTAAACTCTCGTTAAAACGAACTCTGTTAAGAGGAATTTCGCTTAAGACAAACAAAACAAGAGGTTCCCATAGACTCAATACTAAAAAAACCTGCTTAAAAAGAACTGCGCAACAGGCCCCTTCAACTAAGGAAAACTCTCGCAGCAACACACAGCGATGGGGATTCTGCACGACGAAAAATATAGTTTTGATGAAGGCATTCAGGTGAACAAAAAAATGCAAAAAAATCCTTCTTGGCACAAAAACTCAAAGCAAGTCGGAAGTAAATTGCGACATGGAGGGAGAAAATGAGATAAGTGGAAAAGAAAGGTCAGCGCATAAACCTAGTATATCTCCCTCACCTCTAACCTCTAGGTGGAGAAATGGTCGGCTTTATTAGCAAAGAAAGCAATAAAAAGAGTTCATCCTTTCGTATTTTCCTCGTGCTCTTCTGTTCCCCAACAGGAGTGCAGTAAAAACCAGGAGAACACAAGAGCTTAGCTAGAGGAGAAAATGCAAGGGAAGAGGTGAAAAGAAGCCAGATGAAAGTGAAAACGGGAACAAAGGTTGTCTGCACGTTATAAGCACATGAATCGGAAACCACATATGCGGCACTAGCGCTCCCATCAGAGGAGTCAGATGGCGCCTGAGCACATGTTTTGGTCTGTTTGCATTGTTTTTTATAGGACCTTTGTGCATCATATCTATTCGCAGTAGAATGCAGTAAATTATGATGCTCCATTTTCTTTATAATGCATGACAAAGGAAGGTCCTTTTGCACACTAGCTGCGTGGTGTCTTTTTTGTGCGCCGAAGACTTGTGATCGTGAGTAGCTTAAACGTAGATTTTCAGCTGCATGTCATTCAGGAAAAGTTACTGTGGGCTGAAAATAAGAAAATATCGGAAGCTCAAAGAAAAGCTTGCAGACTTTCATGAAAACCTTAGTATATATTGGCTGTGTCACGGTAGCGGTATGCAATGGAGGAGTGCCCAAAATTGATAGCAAAGCCACTAAAACAGCCTCTAAGCAGGTGAACAGCGAGAAGAATAAAATTTCCATTATATTTGAAGGAAAATTGTGCGCGTCTCTTTTTATCTTTTTCTCATCGTCTAAATAGAGTCTTGCTTCAGTTTTATTGTTAAATAATGATAGCAATTTATTCATGAGCATATTTATTATGAACTCGCAAAATCGAGTACTCGTTCGAATTGTCTAAATACTCTACTTTAAAGCATTGTTTTTATCAAGCTGTACCAAACAAAGCTTTTTTTGTTAATTTCCTACCCATTATAAGTATACTTCACTCAGTGTCTTCAAGCAACATATTTGAGCACACTTGGCATATTAGCATTTGGTGTTTGGGGGCACCTCTGATAAGACTAGCTCCTGATAAGATGAACAAACTATCGTGGTCCCTTCAAGTTCGTCTTAAAAGGAGTCTATTGTATTTATTTCTTTTTTATGGAAATACTACTGTGTTGCCTCAAACATTGTTTGTTTCTTGTGATGAACAAGCAGTTAGTAATAATAACTAGATAGCATTAAAGAGCTCGTTTTCATACCGTAAAACCCAAAGTATAGGTTGACCTCCCCCAAGCTTTGAATCTCCGAAAAAGAAATTTTTAAAAATCGCAAAGTATCGCAGCGCACACTTACATTGGTAAATACGCGGCACAACCAGCTGCACTGTGGTGACATTTGTTTTTATTTGGACACTAATCGTATGTAGGTAAACGCCACAAGGCAACAAAGTGCTGTCACTCAGACTAGTCTGAACTTGAGTCTGTCGACATCTGTTTTTCACTAGTAACGTCCCAGAGTGCATCGTCCTCTGTTCTATTCAATGCGTTACTGAACCAGCATTTGCTGAAAGACTGAAGTACGCCGCTTCAGTGCAAAGCCTTTTTGCTTCCTAAATCTGCGCACCCACGATGGTGATCTGTTGAATTGCACCCTCATGAGCCCAGAGTCGCACGCTATCTAGAGAGCTTTCACGCGGATGCACTCCGCTGTTATGGGTAGTGACCTTGAATGCAGCTCCTGAACGAATCTGGCGAGTAACATTTCCAGTTCAGGGTGCGCTGCAGTCCGTCAATGAAACGGAAGTTTTTTTGGTTGCTGCAGGACGTGATGTGCTGCTTTTGGCTCCTCCAGTATCGCACGCTTTTCTCCGATGCACTGAATTCTAGCTGTGCTGCCAGGTTGCCGTGCACTTATGCTTACTCGTTTTTCTTAAAGCCTATCATAAACTGCCGTTGACTACCACTAATTTCTGAAGGAAACAGAAAAAAAAAACAGCAGACTGACACCAGATAACCGAGGCAAAGTTGCGTTGCTAGAACACTGTAGGCCTTGCCTAGCCTTACCCAACGGTGCCGCTGCTGATGCTCGCGATGGCAATCTTTCGATTTCAGTTGCCCATTTTTGCGTCACTTCCACATGTTTTTTCTGCTAATGACCGGTATATAAAACGAGAGTGGACTTTTCATTGCATCTTTTTTTTTTTCAATTCAACCTATATTCCAGTTTCTTACGGTAGAAAGTTTTGCATCGGGGTCGTTGATTGTGAGCGAAAAATTATCTTGTGCATGACCGAAAAATTTAGGAAGATTAAAATAAAATAAATAATAAAAAATTCTGAGCCTGACTAGGGATTGAACTCTGGTCGTTTACGTGGCAAGTTGGCCCCGCCGCGGTGGTCTAGTGGCTAAGGTACTCGGCTGCTGACCCGCAGGTTGCGGGTTCGAATCCCGGCTGTGGCGGCTGCATTTCCGATGGAGGCGGAAATGTTGGAGGCCCGTGTGCTCAGATTTGGGTGCACGTTAAAGAACCCCAGGTGGTCGAAATTTCCGGAGCCCTCCACTACGGCGTCTCTCATAATCATATGGTGGTTTTGGGACGTTAAACCCCACAAATCAATCAATCAAATCAATGCGTGGCAAGCTGGTGTTCTACCACACAGCCACACATCTGTTTGTGAATGTAATGAAAATAACTTCCTCTGCTTGGTAATGCAGTGAAAGTAACTTTTATGTTTTACAAACACATGAGCCCCATATACATGTGTCATACAGTTAAACCTGTTTATAATGAACCTCCATATAACGAATTCCCCGATATGAAGTTTTTTTATTTCCCGCTGTTGCTCCATAGAAGCACATGTATTTGTGACCTCTATGTAACAAAGTAACAGAAGACAACCTTGATATAACGAATTTTCCCCACGGACAATCTAGAAATTCCGCTCCGCACTTTGTTACGAGCATGCATAGGCATACCAGCTTCGAGCACACAGCGAATGTTAAATGTCAAGCGATTTCGAGCACACAGCGAATGTTAACGGGTGCAACACCGCACAGAAGTTGGGCTGCGTGTATTTTCCGCTTCAAGGCGGAGCCCGAACATGGTTTACGAGTCGCGTGTGGTCATCTTGGGATGAGTTTCGGCAGAAGTTCCTCTTCGATACGTTCGCCAGCACCGAAAGACGAGAAATTGCACAGCTCTCCTCGAGTCACGGATTCAGAAACCAGATGAATTCGTTACAATGTTTGTTGAGGACATGGCGTGACCGTTTCGTCGAGCAGATCCCAATATGCCTGAAGCCAAAAATGTTAGCCACCTCATGCGGGGCGTTAAGGAGCAGCTGTTCGCTGGTCTCGTACGAAACCCGCCTACAAGTGTTGAATTTTCCAAGGAGGCGACATTCATCGAATGCACACTGCATCTACGCTACTGGCAGTATGACTGCCCAACCTATAGTGCGCCAATCAGCGCGGCAGCCACAATCACAGCAACGACACCCGACGAAGGTTCTTTGCGCCAACTACAAAAAGAGGTCAAGAAAATCATTGCCAAACCGAATGACTGCGCAGTTGCCTCAGTAACAGAAGTTGTGCACCAGGAGATCAGGCAAGCGCTCTCGCCTCCTGAGCCGAGCATGAGCACCCCCAGGACAAGCTATGCAGACATAGTCCGCCGACAGCCAGTGAACGTGCCGACACCACATCAGTACCACCAGAAACATTTGCCGACAGCGCCTTGGTACTACAGA